ATAATCCTAGTGCTTTGGGAGTCTGGGATCAGAGGATCACCTGAGGCCAGGAGTTCAAGACTAGCCTGGGCAACATAATGAAACCCCATCTCTACAAAAAATTGTTAAAAATTAGCAGGCATGATGCTGTACACCTATGGTCCCAGCTACATGGGAGGCTAAGGTAAGGTGATCACTTGAGCCCATGAGGTCAAGGCTGCAATGAGCATGCCAGACATGGTGGTGCACCCCTAAAATTTTAGCTACTTGGAAGACTGAGGTGGGAGGATCACTTGAGTTCTGGAATTCAAGGCTACAATGAGCTATCATCACACCACTGCACTCCAGTCTGGGTGACAGAGTGGAGACCTTGTCTCTAAAAAAAAAAAAAAAAAACTAAAAAAGAATATTTAAAGGTTTGTCCATGTTTTACCTAAAATAATTTTACATACCACCAGTGGCACTTTGGACTGCCTTGGTGTTCATAAAGCACCTTCATGTTTGTGGTCATTTTCACTAACCCGTAAAGATGTGCAGAATTATCCCCATTTTATAGATGGGAGAACTGAAGCTCAGAGAAGTGGCATCCCAAAGAATACAAATCACGGGTAGTTAAGCCGGGTCCCAACCCTGGTCTTCTACTCTAAATTTAGCACTCCTTACATTATGCCATTCCCCAGCAACAGGACTTTAAAGAAATGGAATGGGGAAGTAAAGAATGAAAAGGGGAGCTTGAGGTCAACTCTGTTATGAGATCAATGATGTGGCTAGTGCTCCATTATTCTTTGATGTTTGCACAACAGCTCTGCTTCAGCAATAAGGAGCACCAAAGAATTCACGAAGAGAGGTGTTATCAAGATTAAAGCCTGCAGAAAAATTTAATGTAATCTCCAGTTAACCAGCTGTATGTAAAAGTGATCTAGGATCATTGATCCAGGTTCTTCGTTTTTGTTTGTTTTTTGTTTTGTTTCTGAGATGGAGTCTTACCCTGTCGCCCAGGCTGAAGTGCAATGGTGTGATCTCGGCTCACTGCAACCTCCGCCTTCCGGGTTCAAACAATTCTCCTGCCTCGGCCTCCTGAGTAGCTGCGATTACAGATGCCTGCCGCCACGCCCAGCTATTTTTTGTATTTTTAGTAGAGATGGGGTTTCACCATGTTGGCCAGGCTGGTCTTGAACTCCTGACCTCATGATCCGCCCCCTCAGCCTCCCAAAGTGCTGGGATTACAGGCGTGAGCCACCTTGCCCAGCCAGATCCAGGTTCTTCAAATATGTACTATACCTCTCTTTCGAGGGTTGGTGTACCTCTCTGAAGGGTTTATGTCTTCTTTTGTCAGACTTTAAGTTTCTTCTGAGATACATGAGGTCCCACTGTGCTGACACTAAGTCAAAAACTTAATTAAATTACCAAATGTGTAATATGGGCCTTCTGAACAAAATAAGCAAATAAGCAACCAGAGATTTAGCCTTGTTCAGAAAAACTCTTAATCATCCACCACATAGTAATGTCTGGCTTTATGAATATGTTTCTATCCACACTGAACAAACTGTAAAACTATTTATGTTGAAGAATTATTGTATCTAAACAATTTGAATGAAAGAAGAGTTTTTAATAGTCAAAAAGTATTGGTAGGGCATGGTGGCTCATGCCTTTAATCCTAGCACTTTTGGAGGCCAAGGCAAGCAGATCACTTGAGCCCAGGAGTTTGAGATCAGCTTGGGCAACATAATGAGACCCCTGTTTCCACAAAAAAATTTTAAAAAATTAGCTGGGCATTGTGGCACACACCTGTGGTCCCAGCTACTCAGGAGACTGAGGTGGGATGATTACTTGAAGCCCAGGAGGTCGAGGCTGCAAAGAGCCAAGATCATGCCACTGCATTCCAGCCTGGCCAACAGAGCGAGACCATGTTCAAAAAAAAAAAAAAAAAAATTAACATTTAACGTATGTGTATATTTATACATTAATAAGTGAACTATGAATACATATAAATTCCAGGTAACTTTATGATTCTTAAATGACATGAGTAAGGAGTTACACCACGATGGCCAGTAGTATTAGCATCATTGCTATCAGCATGAAACTGTGTGGGTAGATGATGAGTAAAGATAAAAAAGATAAAAAAGCCCTCTCCTAAATTCTCACTAAGATAGAGTTAAATAATTTGTGAAACTCCTGGCTTGTGATTGTACAAGAATACAAGATTTTAATTATAGATAAAAGTATTATCTTAAATTACTTGTTCCTTTAGTGTAAGTTTTATAAAAATATTTGTGTGTGTTTAACCTTTTTAATGTTACATTTATGTATTTGATTTCCTTGTATTTTTTAAATTTACAAGTTAGCTAAGTAATTTACAAGGGAGTGTTCATTAAACATGATTTCTATTTAACTAGAAGCTGAATTTATTTTGTTGTTTTCTGATACCATTTTGGGAGGGTATCTTTAAAATTTCTTGAATATTTTTCAAATGTATGAGTATTTCCCCAGAAAAAACATACACTCTTCATATATATTTCACAACACAGTAAAATGCTGAAATCCTGAAACAAACTAAACTTTCTTCTGAATATGTATGATCTTGTTATAGCAGAAATGCACAGCAGTATATATCTTACTTATATTTAATTTCAGAAAGACTATCTTTGCTTTCTTTTTCAAGGTCATTTAATCCTTTATAAATAATATAGTTCATTATAAGAGTATGTTAGAGGCTTAGAGGCAGATTTAAATGAAGAAACCATGGTAGAGTATTAGTTCAGAAAAAATATCCCTGGAAAATTATTCAAGCATAAAAAAATTGAGTATAAATTTGGGCAAGTTGTCATCTAAATTTTGTAGAAATATAATTTTAAATAGTTTGACCTAAATTTTTTAGTGTGCCTGTGTGTGTGTGTATTTTATATATGTGTGTGTAATTTTATATATATAAATGCTATATATATATATAAAATGACTATATTTCAATGTACGTTGGAGTTGGTATGGTGGAGAGAAGTTGAGCACGTTGGAGTCAGACCTGAGTTTCAATTCTGGCCATGTTATTTAAATGCACCAAGTCCCATCTGTAATAATATAAAAGTAATACTAGTTTGCAGTAGTATCATATTAAATGATAAAACAGTGCCTTTTTCATAATAAATGCACAAGAAATGTTTTTACTGTCCCTTATTCCATAATTAATTAAAAATAAAAATTGAAGACTTAAAAAAATACTCTGACCTAACTTTGTTTTTTAAATTAAGACCAATGGGGTAAGTTTTAATTGCTGTGTCTTGCTTTGTTTCATTGTGAATCTGATTCTGTGACCAGATTAACCCCTTCTGAGATCCCTCGCTACACCAGTTTAAGTCTAATAGAAGTTTATGTTATATAGCACAACTCCTTTCCTGCTGCCAAGAAGCTTATTTAAATATAAGTGGAATCATTTATTGATTACAAAACTGAAATATGCAAAGCATTTTTCATATCCCCTTCATGTGAGTGAATGCAGGATGGAGGCTCATTTCTAACATGAAATGTGAAAGTGCATCCAGGCACCTTTTTTTTTTTAAACAACACATGGATACATTTAGCTTACTTTTCCAGTGGTGCCAGTAACCCAATAGGACACTTTTCTTTACGTGAAGTGTTATTGGAACAAAGTTGTCTCTTGTGCTGCCACACAGTGAGTTGGGTATGTATGAACTTGTGTATAAGACATTTGTGCGGGCAAAATACAAAAACATGAAAAGGGAAACATTTCCGTTATTTGACTGTTTTTCCCACTGAATATTAGAAATGCTTGTTTCCAGACTTAATAATGAAAACCTCTCGTTAATCATAACTGTGTTCTAGATTTGAAGGGGTCATAGAGAAGTTATTTCTAAAGGACATTCATGAGTCAATCTTGAGGATACAAAGGCAAAAGTTAATAATCATTTCATTGCTTATTAGTGTTTATTTTCTTACCCATGAGGCATTTTGTTTAACTCTGTATTTTTATATAACAGTGGATTGGGGGTTGGAGGAGAAATGGGGGTAAAGTGGCTGGCTTTCACCCCAATTGAATAGCTGAGTTACTTGCCTTGAAACTATGCTTACACAGCAAGCAACACTATTTTTACTTAGATTGTGTGTGTGTGTGTGTGTTTACAGAATAAAAATAGCCATGTTTTTCTAAAAGTGTTTTTATTCCCAAGTCACATACAAGTTTTCCTAATTATTAATTGTTTTTATTGTGGGGAGGTGGCTTCAAGAACCATGATAGAGATTCTTAGGAGTGTGTAGCAAAGGTTGCACGCTCCACACACACACATATCCCCCCACCACCCTTGGTGGCTGACCTCTGTTGACATAGCTGACTACACACAGACTGGCAGGCAGAAAGCAAGATAGGACAAAGGACACACCCACAAGGCATAGCAACACCCTTTTCTCATGTTTGATGGCCTCTGTACACTGCCAAATGTGTACTAGGTCATGATCATTGCTGAATGCTAACATAAGTGTTCAATAGGACTTGTCACATTTTAATTTTCACAGCAGTTCTAGCAGGAAGGTAGGTATTATTGTCCTCATTTTACAGATGAGGAGACTGAGGCTCAGAAAATGTGTTTTACTCCTACAAGGAAGTGAAAAGTAGGATTCAAACTTTGATCTGTTGGCTCCAAAGCCCACTCACTTCATTAACTACCACTCTTGTCTTCCCCTGATACTTATATCACAGTAGTCTGATACTACAGATTTGCAGTTGCTAAGAAAGTGAACCAGGATCTGTGATTTTTATGATTTTGTGAGTTGAAGGTTGTTTAAATTCCAGATTTTATTCCCAAAATATTATTTTCAAAATGTTGACAATTTTAAAGCCAAACAGCTTTTCAGTTCCACTGATGTTGCAGCCTGGAGCCACAGAATCAACCTCTAATGATTGAGTGAGAACAGAAGATTTGACAAGGCAGTGAAGGTTAAGGCTCCCTTCCCCACCAGTGCAGCACCTGCTCGTACGGCAGGAAAGTAAACACCATGTTTAACAATTACAGGTCTGGGTAATGTGGTTTGGTCTTCATACCTTCACTCAGGTGGAGCCCGAGAAGTTGAAGACACTAACGGAAGGTTTGGAAGCCTACAGCCGTGTCCGGAAAAGGAACAGAAAGTAAGCACTTTTTAAAAATTTTACTTTGTTTTTCAAGGATATAATTTACTGTTTGTCCATCAAAGGGACAACGAAATCTCACTGATTCTGTCCATGTTGTGGCCTGCCTAAGTAAAGTTTGTTACCACCAAAGAGGACCGTTATAGACAAGCCAAATTAGCAATTACAGAAAATATCCTCTTAACAATTTATGTTTACACTCTGTGTAATATTTGCCTCTTCATCAGTTCTTTCTTCATTTCCTGCATCTTCATTCCTCTCATTTAGTGGAAAATAAAATATAATTCATATTCTCAACATATAGGAATTAAATAGGCTCTGGAAGTGTAGTGAATCATTCCATTTGGAATTCAAATAATTTGGGGAGTAAATATCCCTCGTTGTACACGTAAATAATTTTGGCAGATTAACTACTAGTCAAAGTGATGCGAAATAAAGATTTTTTTTTGTTGTTGCATCAGGGGTGTGGACTTGAAAGTAAGTTTTTCTTTGGAATTACAACAAGAAGTTGAATTTCAGGCCAGTATTATTAAAGTTTTTCTAAATATTTATTTTCTGAATAAATGTAGTACAGACAAGCAGATAATATTCGAAACACAGTTTTTACTGTGATACAATGTATGTTTATGTATCATAACTATTATTTTGTATTAAGGTAGAGAACTACAAATGTGCTTCTCTATATGTACATAGAAAGCTATTTAAAAATGTGTAATTGATATACCTGTTCCGTTGCTATACTAATTTCCACATTATCAAGCAACCAAGAATTACATATTAATTAATTTTTATTCATTTGCAAAATGATCCTCACATTTCCCCCAAATATTGACACATAGGCTTAATGTGTTTATGTATTATCATCTTCCTAAAAATACCATTTTAACTTCTGTTTGTACATCAAGACTTACAAAGTGGAGATCAGAATGATTCGTAGTGTATCTTGCATAGAAGGCTTATCTAATGATATCAGTAATATCTATTAGAAAGCATTCTCTTTCACTTTATGGTGTTTCCCATAATTCTGGCCAGAGGCATAATTTTAGAAGTCAACAAATCTTAGGAAGACTCTTCACCTCAATAAAAGGTATCTGAAAAGATGACAGCTGCAAGGGGCAAACTCCTATGTCTCTATGTCCTGGACTCCTTTAAAAGGTAGCAAATTGGTATTGGTTGTGTGAAAGGCCAAGTTAATTGCCAGATAACATCCCTCTAAACCTGGTAAGGAAAACAGGGATCAGGGTCCCTTCTACTCTTACTGAAGCACACTTGCTATGCAGAGCTTAGCAACAAGATAAGGCCACTAAAATTAATACAAGGTCTGGATGAAAGGAGGAAAATTGCAAATTACCTACATCACAAATTTGCAGTGGGCCAGTTGCTGTAAACTATTCAACAGTACCCATTTCTTTGGTATAAAAGAGCCCTAAAAATGTTTCCTACAGTGAAACATGCCAGTTACTTGGATTATGCACAAAATAAAGTTAATAACAGAAATAAAATAACTCCTCCAAATATTCAAATACACTGCCTTGAAATAAGCTGAATTTTCCCCATGTATTTGCTATTAAGCAATTTCTGAAAGGTAATAAGTAACAAACTACAATTTTAAAAATTTTTCTTCAAAGCCAGTTTCCTATTTGCAGTAAATTAATGTGAGATCTATCTAAAGGAATTCTCCTCATGATAACCATAAACTTAAAGTACAAATTGGAGAAGTAAAAGTAGAAAATACAAAACTAACACTTATAAAAAGAACTTTATTTACCATACTATTGTCTAAGCAGACAGACTTTCCTTTTCGATGCCTAGTAGAATGCTTTACATTTTGCACATGTAATTGTAAATTCATCATTTTATTCTCCCAGTCACAAGATGGGCCAAAATTACTGAGTCCATTTGCAGATGCGGACACTCAGACTGAAATAGTTTAAATAATTAGTTGAAAGTCCTACAACTGATAAATTATATGTTGAAACAAATCATTTTTTAATTTATGCATTTATTCCCAATTTAAGGAGACAAATTTAGCAAAAAATCTGTGCCAGGAACAGTGCTACAGTCCCTGAAGCTCACTGTTTAGTGAAAGAGACAGATGCAGAAACAAATAATTCAAATGTCAAAATTGCAACAACAGCAATATATATACATACTATATTTTGGGGTCATACGGAAAGGGCAGATAAAGGAAGGGTTCCTAGAGGGGATGATATGTGGGCCAAGCCTTAAACACTACATAGGCATCAGCTACACAAAGGAAACAAAGACCAAGATGGGGTGGGATAGTGTGTAGATAAGAGCAGCAGTTGGATTTTGAGGACTATAAAGTATCGGATGGGAAGTTATAAGAGGTATAAGCAGGAACCAGATCAAAAAGGGCCTAGTAAGGGCAAATCGGATGTTTTACTGTTTTGGAAGTGCCTAAAGGGGGCAGGTGGTTGCATTTTTCACCTTAGGTATGGCGGTGTAGGAGGACAAATTTTAAGGCAACAATATTGAAGATGAAGAGATTGTTCAGGAGCCACGGCAGAATACAAGGGAGAACGAGGACCCAAACCAGGAGCTGGCGGAGTTGGGGATGAGGATGGAAGAGAAGGAATGTGGTCAAGAAATACTTAGGAGGTAAAATAGAAAGAACATGGGGTGATTGATCAGAATGTAAAGGAAAGGGAACAAAATCAAGGACAGCTCTCAGGTTTTCAGCTTGGGTGACTTGGTAGGTTGTAGATACACTGACTGAAGTGGAGGTTACAGTGGGAAGCTGTTGAGTACAGTTTGGGGTGCCTGTAGGATAGGCTGGACATACATGCCTGAAACTGGGGAGAAATGGTATTTGACAGTGTACAAATGACTGAAGTCACACAAAGATACTTTGACCAATTTGAAGAAGAGTAGGCTAAGGATTGAACATGCATTAGAATGAAGAACATGGGAAGAATGGTCAGTGAGGAGGAGGAGAATCAGGGAAAGTAGATAGAGTCTCAGAAGTCAAAGACTGCTAAAGTGATCAACAGAGGTCCAGTAAGACAGAAACTGAAAAATCTCCATCAGATTGGACAATTTGAAGGTCATTGGTAAACTTAAGTGAGAACAGTTTCCAGTAGAGTGATGCGTATACACACAAAGTGGCTATGGGTTGAAGATTAAATAAGAAGAAGGAAATAGGGAGAGGAGATGTAGATTATTTTCTTCTTTCTACCCATAATGTGAAAATTTTCTGAAAAATAACTAAGAAAGAATATTTTAAATGACAAAGATTTGACTGCTTTTGTAGACTGAGGGGAAGAAGAAAAGAGGAAAAGGTTGAAAAAGGAAGGTGTCATTTGGAACAAGATAATTAAGAGGTTGGTTTTTTACCTGGACTGAAGTCCTGTTTCTACCACTTCATAGCCGTATGTTCGTAATTTCCCTGAGCCTAAATTTTTCATTTCTAAAATGGACATAATCCTACTTTAGAATTGTTGTAACATAGATAATATAGAGAGAGCCTCAGCACAGTACTTGGCACATGTCATTTAGTAAATAGCTATTTTTCTTATGAAGATACAGGTGAAAGAAAGAAAATTATCTGTTATTTTTACCAGTTGAAACATTCTACCATGATATTAGATGTTTAGAATTTTATGTAGTCGTTTTAATCTTCAGTGTCCTCGAACTATACAACAAATAAATATCTTTAAATGAATGTTCTAATTATATCCTAATAGCAACATATTTATTTAACACATTACTTAGGACAATTTTGTACTTAAAAGCAGAAATAGCTTTATTAAAGAAAAATTCCACAATGTTATGGTTTTCATTTAGGCAAGGAGCAAATCTTCTGTCTATAGGTATACATTTCTTGGGAAACCTGATTTTTTGTGAATCTGGAAAACAGTAAAGTGATTAAATAAATCATACTTTCACTTTAAAACCAAGGAGTGATACTTACCATGTTAAATTTTCTTAGATCTTCATACATTCCCCAGGCATTCGGTTTCAGAGTGCAGGGTTCTTGACTTTTATGTCTCACCCATATTTGTTACGTACTGGATGAAGTGAGTCACTTAAACTCTAAACTGACAGTGAAGAACAACTTGCAATTTCTCATTTCCCTTCTATTTCTTGTACTATTCATAGATGTGTACCTGGCTTTTTTAAAAAAATTAGTGAATTTAAAGATAATATATGACAGTATAGCCAATGAAGTTGAGAAGTGGCAATTATCTCCATTAATAATTAGAAATGTGATTATATGAACATCTGTTACTTAATCAAGTAGGTTTTAGAGTGTCCATTAGTAAAAATGTTTATTATTAAATGTCAGCGGGGAATAGAAAATAGTAGAAGAAACTCCACAGGGAGGCCCTCTGGACTGAAAGACTGAATTTTGACTAATTGTTCATTTCTTGAATTCATAGAGCTTTTTCTTCCTCTTTTAAATTCATTATTCCCTGACCTGACCAGTAGCTGGTCTGCAGATTTGACATCTGGGAGAGTCTCTCTTTATCTCTCGAATCTCATGAGGTATACAAATAATTTCATGCCCCACATCTATGTATTTATTTTCTCTTCCAAAAGTAGTCATTTCTCCCTCTATTAACAACTAAGTTGTGTTAAAGGTGAAACATTATACTAGTTTAACTTGAATTAATGCAAAGTGTTTACAAATATTTTAAATATCTTGAAGAATGAGATGACAAAACTCCTGAAACTTTTTCTCAACAAGTAATGTTGAATCGTTTTTGTGCTTGAATGGTAATTTTTATTGTAATTTTTCATGGTTAGGTAAAAGTTTTTTACCTATGACTATTACTTTTGAAAACTATAGTCAAATATCCGTTTTCTTCATTACAAAATTAGAATTGATTTCACCAATTCTCCTTAAAAAGTCATGAAGTATCACATACAGTTGTCATAATACCTATTCCATCAAATTGTTGTAAGGATTAAATGAGATAATGTATATAGAGTTTTAATACAATACTTGGCATATAGACATTTTAAAATAAATAACAGGTATTTCTTTTACTAAGATTAAAGGTGAGAGAACCAAGGTTCTCTGGAGGTTTTTCGTTAAAACATTGTAACTTCATTTTAAATATTTATAACTTTATATAGTCAATTTTAAACTCCTAAGATAGTCTAATCAAAATTTATAATAAATAAATGTCTTTTAAAACTTATGTTAATACATCAAGCTTATGTTCATACAAAAGAAATAGTAAGGATAAAATTATTTAACACATTACACACAGTATGATATTGTCAGGCAACATGGCAATGATAATACTGTCAGAACCCTTGCCAAGCAGCCTCAGCAAACCCCAGGTGGCCTTACAGAGTGCTCCTAGGAGCTTGCTTGGCAGACACCTCATTAGGAAAACAACTGAGACTGACTCCATGAGATGACCAGGGCCCCTTGAAACTGGAATGGGTAGGTAAATGGAAGACAGTACATGCATAATAAAAAAACTTCTTACATAGCAGTTAGAAGGAATGAATAGATTATACAAACTAGATGGTATGTAAAACAGTTATCAGGAGAAAAAAAGTCGAGTTTGTGTATCTGACACCTTTTGTGTGTGTGTATTTTTAAAAACATGCATAAAACAATACTAAAGAATAAAAGCAGACTAAAAGTTGAGGGGGGAAGGTGAGGGAAAATGGGACCAGGATGGATAACAACTGGGGACTCCAGCTTTATTTTTTTAATATAAAAGACTTAAAGGAAATAGGTAATTTATTAACATTTCGTTCCAGGAGAGGAATATGTTAGGTTTATTTTATCCTGTGTACTCCTCTGCATTTTTAAATTTCTAAAAATAAATGACAAAAATATAAAAGCTAAAGACTAGCTTACAGGGCAGCGAAAGGTAGAGGAGAAGTGGTTGATGCCATATTACCCTTATAATTTGGTTAAAACCAATACACTCATTTTTCCTTTCAGTTAAACTGACCTAAGTACATATATTTTTTTTGAAACATAGGACCATCTGGGCCACCTTTGACAACTATTTTTGTTTAGCAAATACATAGAGCATCTATGATATGTCTAGCACTATGGTACTCAGAGGTGGAAAACTCGGAGTTCTCAAAGTGTAGACAGAAACTCAGTGTATACATTGTCCAGTCCTGGTGTGTGAGGATAAAACCTAGTGAAAGCTATGGTAAACTGAACTAAAGTTCAAAAATGTTTCGAAACACCCTGCTAACCAAACTAAATACGCCAGTAAGCCAAATTCTCCCACGACTGCAAATTTCCAGTCTCCATGGTAGATGCTGAGATAGGACTTAACTCATGGAAACGCATGCTAACCGCCTGTTACGAAAACGTTACCTCCAGCAGCTTTTCTAGTAATTGTCATGACAGGATAAATGAAAAAAATCACCTTAGTATTTGGAAAAAATAGGTAATTATTTATTTACGTAAAGGAGGAAAAACAAGTTAACAGGATGGGCAAAGTGGACATAACCACAGGGGTGGGTAGCATGGATTTACCTGATTTTAGTTCAACAGCTTCATAGATTTAAGCTTCAAAAATGGTAGATGCACCGTGTGTGTTATTCAGGCCAAACATGTGTAATGGAATGCTAAGTGGAGAAAAAAGGTCAGAGAAGTGATAGGCACCCTGAGGCTGTCATTCTTTATCTGTTCAAATATTTACATCATTTTGGCTTATGGGAAAATGCGCTGGGCGGTAGGCTGGGAGCCTCAGGTGCGTTAGAGTTAAGCTGTTTTCCACCCAGGAACGGGCCCCGGGATTTCAGCCTTCACTAGCTCAACTCCAGAGCCAGAACGCTCCAGAGAGGGCAGAGGGAGCTCCCTAGTGGCCAGAGCCTGCAGTTCAGCCCCTCCGCCCTTCCTCTGGTCACACAGCCAGGCTGCCTGAGAAAGAAACAAGAAGCAATGCAGGGCCAGCCGGAGCCAGGGAGCATGAGCAGTGTCTCTGGGAGAGGGAACCCGTGGCCCAACTTTCTTCCCAAATCACCAGATTGTGGAAGAAGCATGTGGAAGAGGAAGAAGTCCATCTCCGCCCCCGACAATCTGTTCAACTTTTCTTTTCAGTAGTTTTGTGACTTTAATCATTAGTATTCAGTGGTAAGAATCCCAGGGTGATGTTTTGTCATCTGAATTTTCCAAACGCGAGTATAAATTGGCTTTCTCTCGTGGAATTGGTACTTTTGTTTTCTGATTAGGAAATTAAATTGAGTTTTGTTTCTTTAATTTTTTAATCTGGTGTGTTGTTTTCATTAATTCCAGAAGTGGAAAGCTAAATAACCATTTAGAAGCTGCTATTCATGAGGCCATGAGTGAACTGGACAAAATGTCTGGGACTGTAAGTTAATTTATTTTTCCATTATACTGTGTTTCTTAGAAAATAAATTATGTTACACTTTTTGGTAAAGTCTCTTGAATATTGTCAAGCAACTCACGTAGCAATACTAAATTACTAGCCTAGAAAAAGAAGACAAATATCAGAAAAGATTCAAAGTCATTTAAGAAAAAAAAAAAAACCTACTGCATTAACTATGTCTTTCTTCCTGAGATAAGTAACTTTTGTTTTGCCACATAACATTCTTTTAAAATATGAGCAGCAAAATATTGATGTTCAAACCACAGCTTTCTGCACTTGACTCTGTGAATGGCCGTGGCCATTACTGTTGCCTATATATTTAGTAATGCAAATTTTGTTCTGTCCTTTGAACCAAAAGACAGTGGGGGTCAAGATCAAGAGTATATAGACCTCTCATATCCCATTTTTATTGAACTTTGCATGTAATAGCATTGAGTGTGAGAAGTTTAATCGTTATCCTCCAGTTCACACATTGACTGATGTAAATACTTAAAATATAATTTTGGTAATCTGTTAAAAATGTGAATTGTCTAGGCTATTTCGCATGAAAAATAATTTATTTTATTTGACCTTATGTTACAAGGTTATCTGAATCCCAACAAACCATCCAATGGCAATTGAATGATGGGATTAGTATGGGTTTTAGAGATTTTGTAATCCAACCAACCCATCATTTCGCAGATGGGTGAATTGAAGCCCTGAGACATTAAATTTCCTGATAAAATTATAGGAAAGATCTAGATTGGGGACTATAAACTCAAATGTTTTCTAGGGCCAGTCAAATAGTAAAGTGGGTCAGGTATGAGAAAACAGCAGTTGGAATGGATGAGAAATGCCAGTGAAGATCCATGGGTTAGGGTAGGCTACCAATCTAGAGGCTCAGCACAGTAAAAGCCATTACTCACCTGAGTCTGGTGCTCGTTGAGGAAGGGGTTGCTCCACACCAGCGCACAGATTCTTTCTTTATCTAGTGACCACCTCTCTTAGGACCTCAGAGTGCTTCATTATATCCTTTGCATTTTGCCTTGAAGGTAAAAGAAAAGAGCATGCTAAGAATACTGCCAGCATAGGTTTATGAGCCAGACCAGTCATTCTGTTGACTTTCCACTGACCTGACCTAATCACATGATCTTCTTAAGTAGAATAGGAAATAGAGCATAGAATGTGCCTGCCCAGGAAAAAGAGAAAATGAGTTTGGCCATCGTCTCTCTAGACTCTGCCTCAGGACATTTGGCCCTGGTGGAAATCAGGTAGTTGAGAGTAGTAAGGGCCGGGGCAACCTAGGAGGCATGTGCTGTCTCCAGAAGGCATTCCGTCCATGCTCCAGCAGATCTTAGACATCTGGGAAATTGTGTTCATGTTGCAAGATCTTTCCATTTTTCATACAAAACTAGAAGTCTAGAGGTAAAATTTCTCATTTTTATGTGTTGACAACTGTTTTAAAAAATATTAAAGTGCCATATGGCTAAACAAAATACCATTTCAGGCCACATTTGGTCCACAGATTACTAGTTTGCAGTCTCAGTTATAAAAAGTTTCTTTCCTCAGTTGTAAAAAGTTTTGGCTCTTTACTACAGACTAGTGGCTTTTAAAAATGTGTATGGAAAAGATTAGGAGGAATAGGCAGATTGAAAAACCCATAAATATTATTTAAAATTTGAAAATATTATTTTTTTAAAAGCATTCTGCATTTGAGTCTGGATAGCATTGCCCTTTGCTGTTGTCTAAACATTATTTTTAAGCATGTAATTGAGCCAACTTGTAGTGGATCTTGAGAGTCAATTGTACTCATCTCTTCCTAACCCTAAGTCCTGTGACATAAGGTTGGCCAGGATAAAAGTTTTATACCACAGAAACTGGCAAAATGCTACAATGGACTTGTGTCCAAATGCTGATAAAGCATTTGCTACACCACTGCCTTGGGTTCATCCCTCCTCTCCTGGGTCTTGGACCTTGCTCCTTCCCACCGATAGCTACAAGACAATTTGATCACTCCCTCCTCCAAATTATATCTGCTATCTAATGCTGCTCAGCCACTGCTCAATCTGATGAACAGCACTAAATGTTGCTAGTTCCTGCATTAGTACATAAAGAAAGGTGAATTGTATTAACTGCTCCTCCCAGACTACACAATTTCAGATCTGCCAACAGATGATAGTGGTATTCTCTTTTCCATTTTGATTCTTCTTATGAACAAACATCCTTAGGCTGAGCTATGTGTGCATGTTCTTGTAATTTGTGACCCTTCCTAGTCATTGTAAAATAAGTAGGGTAACAAAGTGAGGGAAAAAAAGGGGCATGTTTGTTGTGTAATTATTCACTCTTCCAGGCTGTAGTGAAATTGGTGATCTAGGGTCTCTGACAGGGAAGGCTTTATTTTTGTTTTAAATGGACAATGGGGTAACAACTGCACATTGCATTTGCCATACTTGATTTTGTCCAGTTCATCCTTTGTTTTCCACTGTCTATTGGCACCCCCAGAGTGTTGCACTGCTTATGAGTTTCTAGCATTCTGCATTCTCTGTAGTGACTGTGGGCACACTGACAGCTGGGGTCTTGGTAAACATTTGAAGTGCCTCAGGATATCAGTAATTGAAAGTGAAAGCCAGAGTCTACTCCCTACCCTGTTTCTTTGTCAGAAATTGTATGGTGTTTGTGATTTCATCCTCTGTTGTTGTTGTTTTTTTCCTACCTTTTTATTTCCAGGTACACCAAATCCCACAGGGTGACAGACAAATGAGACCCCCCAAACCCAAGAGGAGGAAGATCTCCAGATAACAGAGACTACTCCACTAATGCGCAGTGTTTAATAAAGGAACATGCACAGATGTATTTGTATATAGGTATTGATATAGCCACTGTTATATCAATATTTAGACTATGGCAGATAGCTACCACCACCACAGGGTGCTAAAAGAAACAGTGATACAAAAGTTTTTTGATCAGGAAGGATAATGAATGCTGGAAAAACCAATCAAAATATCTGTGTGATGAGAGTGATAAATGGTCAAGAGATTACTGAGAAACTCTTTTTCTATAATACTAAATTGTGATTATAAGAAATAGTCCAAATGTTTCTGAAGAATTTTCAATGTTGTATATAGAAAATACAGAATTTCATGGTGATATCAGAAATGTAAATATTGTACAATATTGTCATGTACAAGCGTACCTAATGCACACTTTATCTTTTATTGTACAAAGAAATAGTGTACAAAATTCTTTGGTTTCTATGGAGTACACCTACCAGAGACTACCAGTGTAAAGTGATAAATAAAAATACAACCTAAATGCTTTTCTATGATAATGTAAAAGATGCTGTTTTTGTATTTAACAGCAGAGAAAAGGCATGATGATGTAATATCTGAATTATGACATACACTGCACACCACTGAGTGTCCATTTATATTGTGTGTTTGGAATGAACCTTGCCTGGAAGCACTGGACTCAATTTCGGGTGTCTAGGAAATTGCAACCTTGCAGATTTCTAAAGGGAAGAGGGCTCACAGGTCTAAATTAAGAATTCAGAAACTGCAACCATTTGTTGCATATTTTTTTTACCTAAGTTTTAAAATAGAATAGGTTTTATAAAAAAAAATCTTAGATGGAATATTTTACTCAGTCATTTCTGTAGTTAACGTTTGATAGCCACCTGTTGAAGCAGATAGCTTATACTGACTGCACCATCGCTGGTGCTCAGAATTGAGGGTTTTTTGCAAATGATATCTGACAAGGTAAAACTTTCTATTTCCATACATGGAGGCAAAAGCCCCACTTTGCAACCATTATTAGAGGTAAGGTTGATTATAATTCTTTTTTTTTGTAGTGGCAAAAATAAATATGAATCATCAAAGCAAGTTTCATATCCATTCATCAGTATTACTTAACCCAGAAGTTAAGGTGGCTTACAAAATTATTAGCAATGGTAATTTTTTTATCAGTATTGTGTAACATATCAGATTTATTTTATTTAAAGAATTATTTATACCATTAACAGATTCTTATATATATTAATGTGGCTAAAATGTGCAGGTTAAATCTATTAACCAAATTATTTATATTATATTAAGTAAGAAAAAATGTGAAACAACTGTAGAGAGAAAATACTACATTACAAGTATACAAACCTAAAACTGTGAGCCATTGTAAAGTACAAGGTAATTAATAAGAAATGTAGCACAACGTAATTTTCCGTCTTCTTCTCACAATTTTTGTGGTGGTGGTATTACCATATCTTCTAGGCAGTTAAGCAAAGTTTAGGCTTCCAGCCTGACTTCAGTTGATGGATTGTGAAAAGAAGGGATCTGTTATCCCTTTATTCTTGGAACCACCAGTCCCTGCCCCAAACCCTTAAACCCCTAGAGAGCACTGTCTTGTCCTCTAGCCTGGGGCTCAGGCAACAGTCTGCCACTCAGGCTGCTAGGAGGTTCTCCAATAGTAGGCTCAGCAGCTCAACCTGCCCACCACCTCACCTACTGCTCCTCTCCCACCCACCGCCCAAACTCCTCAGTCCTGTCATGTAGCAGAGTTCCAGTAACTCAGGAAAATGGAGACCAAGGTCATTCCTTGAGTTGGTTTCTTAGGGCCACAGCACAGAGCATGCCACCTGGGCTCGCTTTTGATAGCAACAGCTCTTAGTTATTCCCCTAGGTCTCCTTTGTCTCTCTGTCCCTCTGTTCCACTTTCAACCTACCCCCAAGCCTGACGGAATGCAGCTGGCTACCCTGGGCTTCATGACCTCAAAGTAGGAACCCTTCCTTCAGGGGTAGGTTCATTTTGTCTCTCTTGTAATGGTGGGATTGCCTGCCCAGTTCCTTCATGCAGTCACAGGAAGTAATCTTTTGTGTAGTTTAGTTGACACATGTTTATAAGTTAAAAGTTGATGTGGCTAATATGTT